ACAACTTTGGTGACTTAGCATGCATGCATGTGTGCACTGATTTTATATACTAGGTATGTTTAACAAATTAACACACAAGAAAAAAGCAGTAGATTTAATAAAGTAGAAGAAATTATCCATGGTACCACAAAGAGCATGGAGACAACCAAAGAGTAAAGTGGCTTAAAATGCATGTAACTGGAGATCTAGAAAGAGATGATGGAGTGGGGAGGGGGCTGAGAAAGTAGTACTGAGACGAAAGAAGGTGGTGGAGTGGGAGGGTGCAGAAATATTCCAAATCTGATAAAGCTATGGTCTCAAAGGTAGTATAAATTTGAAAGGAAGCACCGAGAAAATTACACAAAGGTCTGGATCATAATTGCAAAATATACTAAGGTATATAATCATCAATCAATTTCTTTTTTTTTAATATCAATATTATATTTTATTTTTTTTTCTTTTTTCTTTTTTTCATTTATTTTTATTAGTTGGAGGCTAATTACTTTACATCATTGCAGTGGTTTTTCTCATACATGAAATGAATTAGCCATGGATTTACATGTATTCCCCATCCCGGTCCCCCCTCCCACCTCCCTCTCCACCCGATCCCTCTGGGTCTTCCCAGTGCACCAGGCCCGAGCACTTGTCTCATGCACCCAACCTGGGCTGGTGATCTGTTTCACCCTAGATAATATACATGTTTCGATGCTGTTCTCTTGAAACATCCCACCCTCGCCTTCTCCCAGAGTCCACAAGTCTGTTCTATACATCGGAGTCTCTTTTTCTGTTTTGCATATAGGGTTATTGTTACTATCTTTCTAAATTCCATATATATATATGTGTGTTAGTATACTGTAATGGTCTTTATCTTTCTGGCTTACTTCGCTCTGTATAATGGGCTCCAGTTTCATCCATCTCATTAGAACTGATTCAAATGAATTCTTTTTAATGGCTGAGTAATATTCCATGGTGTATATGTACTACAGCTTCCTCATCCATTCGTCTTCTGATGGGCATCTAGGTTGCTTCCATGTCCTGGCTATTGTAAACAGTGCTGCGATGAACATTGGGGTGCACGTGTCTCTTACAGATCTGGTTTCCTTGGTGTGTATGCCTAGAAGTGGGATTGCTGGGTCATATGGCAGTTCTATTTCCAGCTTTTTAAGAAATCTCCACACTGTTTTCCATAGTGGCTGTACTAATTTGCATTCCCACCAACAAGGTAAGAGGGTTCACTTTTCTCCACACCCTCTCCAGCATTTATTGCTTGTAGACTTTTGGATAGCAGCCATCCTGACTGGTGTGTAATGGTACCCCATTGTGGTTTTGATTTGCATTTCTCTGATAATGAGTGATGTTGAGCATCTTTTCATGTGTTTGTTAGCCATCTGTATGTCTTCCTTGGAGAAATGTCTGTTCAGTTCTTTGGCCTATTTTTTGATTGGGTCATTTAATTTTCTGGAGTTGAGCTGGAGGAGTTGCTTGTATATTTTTCAGATTAATCCTTTGTCTGTTGCTTCGTTTGCTATTATTTTCTCCCAATCTGAGGGCTGTCTTTTCACCTTGCTTATAGTTTCCTTTGTTGTGCAAAAGCTTTTAAGTTTCATTAGGTCCCATTTGTTTATTTTTGCTTTTATTTCTAAAATTCTGGAATGTGGGTCAAAGAGGATCCTGCTGTGATTTATGTCGGAGAGTGTTTTGCCTATGTTCTCCTCTAGGAGTTTTATAGTTTCTGGTCTTACATTGAGATCTTTAATCCATTTTGAGTTTGAGGAGGAAGAAATGAAGAACCCCAGGGTTAGTAGAAGGAAAGAAATCTTAAAAATTAGGGCAGAAATAAATGCAAAAGAAACTAAAGAGATCATAGCAAAAATTAACAAAGCTAAAAGCTGGTTTTTTGAAAAAATAAACAAAATTGACAAACCATTAGCAATACTCATTAAGAAACAAAGGGAAAAGAACCAAATTAACAAAATTAGAAACGAAAATGGAGAGATTACAACAGACAACACCGAAATACAAAGGATCATAAGAGACCACTACCAGCAGCTCTATGCCAATAAAATAGACAACTTGGAAGAAATGGACAAGTTCTTAGAGAAGTATAACTTTCCAAAACTGAACCAGGAAGAAATAGAAGATCTTAGCAAAACCATCACAAGCAAGGAAATCGAAACTGTAATCAGAAATCTTCCAGCAAACAAAAGCCCAGGACCAGATGGCTTCACAGGTGAATTCTACCAAAAATTTAGAGAAGAGCTAACACCTATCTTACTCAAACTCTTCCAGAAAATTGCAGAAGAAGGTAAACTTCCAAACTCATTCTATGAGGCCACCATCACCCTAATTCCAAAACCAGACAAAGATGCCACAAAAAAAGAAAACTACAGGCCAATATCATTGATGAACATAGATGCAAAAATCCTTAACAAAATTCTAGCAAACAGAATCCAACAACATATTAAAAAAATCATACATCATGACCAAGTGGGCTTTATCCCAGGAATGCAAGGATTCTTTAATATCCACAAATCAATCAATGTAATACACCACATTAACAAATTTAAAGATAAAAACCATATGATTATCTCAATAAATGCAGAAAAAGCCTTTCACAAAATTCAACATCCATTTATGATTAAAACTCTCCAGAAAGCAGGGATAGAAGGAACATACCTCAACATAATAAAAGCTATATATGACAAACCCACAGCAAGCATCACCCTCAATGGTGAAAAATTGAAAGCATTTCCCCTGAAATCAGGAACAAGACAAGGGTGCCCACTCTCACCACTACTATTCAACATAGTTTTGGAAGTTTTGGCCACAGCAATCAGAGCAGAAAAAGAAATAAAAGGAATCCAGATAGGAAAAGAAGAAGTGAAACTCTCGCTGTTTGCAGATGACATGATCCTCTACATAGAAAATCCTAAAGACTCTACCAGAAAATTACTAGAGCTAATCAACGAATACAGTAAAGTTGCAGGATATAAAATTAACCACAGAAATCTCTTGCATTCCTATACACTAACAATGAGAAAACAGAAAGAGAAATTAAGGAAACAATACAATTCACCATTGCAACAAAAAGAATAAAATACTTAGGAGTATATCTACCTAAAGAAACAAAAGACCTATACATAGAAAACTATAAAACACTGATGAAAGAAATCAAAGAGGACACAAACAGATGGAGAAATATACCATGTTCATGGATTGGAAGAATCAGTATTGTCAAAATGGCTATACTACACAAAGCTATCTACAGATTCAATGCAATCCCTATCAAACTACCAACGGTATTTTTCACAGAACTAGAACGAAAAATTTCACAATTTGTATGGAAATACAAAAAACCTCAAATAGCCAAAGTAATCCTGAGAAAGAAGAATGGAACTGGAGGAATCAATCTGCCTGACTTCAGACTATACTACAAAGCCACAGTCATCAAGACAGTATGGTACTGGCACAAAGACAGAAATATAGATCAATGGAACAGAATAGAAAGCCCAGAGATAAATCCACGAACCTATGGTCACCTTATCTTTGACAAAGGAGGCAAGGATATACAATGGAAAAAAGACAACCTCTTTAACAAGTGGTGCTGGGAAAACTGGTCAACCACCTGTAAAAGAATGAAACTAGAGCACTTTCTAACACCATACACAATCCATTTCTTAAGATCAGTGATAGAAAATATAAGAACGTTAAATGTAAAGGAACAAGGGTAAGAACAGGAGACTGTGGGAAAAACAGGCAAGAAAGAACAGTACCACATCTTTAAGCAATGATATCTAGAATGCTACACTCTGCAAAAACTTTTTTGTTCAAAATCAGGCATTCTGAAATAAAGACAATTTCAAACATCAAAAAGCAAGAAGAGTCGCCACTAAAGTACAACATCTGATAGAGCTTGAGTGGAAGCAAAATGGTACTGGATGCACATCTAAATGGAGAGAACATGGACCTGTCAAACCCCAACAAATAATTTTAATTTGGCAATTACAGAATAAAAAAGCTCTTCTAGCTTTTCAATGCTTGAAGAGGTTTATGACGCACATGAAATTGCAATTATTTTGGTGTGTGTGTGCAGTGATAAAGTATTACTTGGAAAAGCAAATGCAGAATTTACATTTACACAGTCTAAAAGTTAAAGAAAAAATTAAAGAGAGGTGCAACCAATGAGCCAAGTGGAATCAAATACTAGCGGTATTCATCTTTCTGCTTCTAGGTTCAGTTCACAGTTCTTAACTAAGGCTACATGGACACATGTCTTGTAAATCCCACGTGAGAGATTAGAGAGTTATAGCCTCTTGGTCTGTGGTGCAATTCAGTATACATACATATGACCACAGGGACAATTCTCCCTTCGTTCTAGGTAATCATTTCCTGACCCCCAGCTTAGCATACCCAGGACTTTGATCTCTAGTGGACAGATGCCATTGAGTTCATTCATGCCCTGAACTTCTGTAAAGGAGACGAAGTCACCACTCTCAAATCCGTGTCGGGATTCATCCAGGCAAGTGACAATACCAGGGTTGTCCTGGTTGGAAGACAAGTTAAAGAAAGTCTCACATGTAGAATCAGGGTACCCGGAGCATAGACAAGGACTAAGGCTACAAACATGCCTGCCTTGGGCCAGACTCCATACCTTGGTAACCATAGAAACCATAGCAGTGAGAGGCTGTTCCCCATTGGAATCTGTGAGGATCATTTCCTCTCCAAAGTCACAGAACAATTGCCTGTAAAAGGAGAAAACAGGACTGAGACCTGGAACTCGGGTACTGAGGCATCATGCTGGTAACATGACAGTGCTTACACAGTATGGGCAGAGGTGGACATGCAGACTTGTATACATGGTTTTCCTGAGAGAATCATTAGGGCACTGAGAGCCAGGGTGGTTTTGGCCTGGCCTAGGAAGGAGTTAGGGATAAATGGAGAAGGTGGAACTCACCCAAACAGACCTCGAGTGTCTGCTACCACCAGCTTGATTCCATGCCTGTGACAGAACTCACCCACCTTCAGCTGGTCCTCCAAAGGGGAGTTGGTAAGGACCACCACCTGTAAAAAGAAAGCAGCTCACTGCAAAAAGGACTAGCACTGAGGTGAAGGGGAGTAAGGAAAAAAAAGGAGAAAGGCAAGTCAGGAACTGGCAGAAGGTCAGGGCTTCAGCTTACGAGTTGACTTTTTCTACAAATATAAAGTACATGTTTCATACTCTGTCAGGGGACGTTCAACTTTCAGGGATCCAATATGTTATTCTCTTGAGTGCCATTTCTCAAGGACTCTCTATTCCTTATCAGTTCCTGGAAAACAGCACCGAGCAGAGGTGCACACAGTTCTCAGGACTGAGATCATGAGAAAGAGCACCTTCTTGGACTCCTTTCAGTGACTCCCTTCAGTGACATTTTACTTAAAGGTAATTATTCAGTTACACCCCTCTTACTCAAGATATGGAATACTTTCTGGCCCTTTGAATACTGTTATGTGCTTGGCTTTGTTTTTGCTCAAATTTTTTACTACAAGTTGCCTTGTATGAAGATATATAAATGTGCATTTCTGCAAATAAAGCACCCCTGTTTCACTCGAGACCTGGGTCCCCTGCGTCCCAATTCTGGTTGACTCCAGTCCTCAGGTCCCAGTCTACAAAGACTGTGACAAGCAGCGCCCCAACAAGGACCTGGTGAATGCCCTTGACAAGCAGGTGGAGTGACTGTTAGGACCTAAGGAGTTTCGGTTATGTGACAAATGGCTGGAATGCCCCCACCACTTTTCTACTTTACTTCATTTATTTAAGGTTCAGGACTTTTGGTTTCACATCAGCAGATAGAGGCTTGTCTACAAACAGTGGTTGAATATAATCCCTGGTTCCTTGATGAAAGCAGTTCCAATTTAAAAAGTTGGAACTGGGTTAAAAAAAATTAAACCACAAGACAGAGAGAAAATATTCCAATAGATTTCTGGCCCTTGTGGGCCTTCATTAAAGCCATAATCTTGCCATTTCAAGGCAATTCTAGCCCCCCGAATATCATCAACAAGCCTAACTCTCATTATATGACTATAAATTAGATGATAAGACTTTACGAAAGGCCCACTTAGAGCAACATAAAATGTTTCAAAACTTTCCCACCATCCCTGCTCCGACTGCCCCAAGCACTCCTCCTGCTCTAGTAACAGGCACGAAAACTAAGTTCCCCTCAATTAAAAGACAAAATGAATCTGATGATGATTCTTCTGCCGCTCTCTTTGACACTAAAACAATACATTTGATGACAATAATAAGTCCCTAACACACACTCATATTTAAGAATACAGACGATCCACTCGTTCTCCTTCACCACGAAGGCTTTCTGATTTACTGGCTTTCCAATCACAAGTCTCTGAGGCCAATGATCTTCTTGCCTTTCCTGTGTAAAGAAATATTAATGCTCAAGGGCAACTAATAGCTCAATATGAAGGCACTGGTTTTTCTCACATGCAAAAAATGAAAAAGGTTGCAACTATGTATGGCCCTTATTCACTTTTTACTAAACTCTATGGCATCTTCTATTGAAAATTTTATTCCTTATGGTTGGCAAATTTTGATATAAGTTCTTCTTAAACCAAGAAAATATCTTCAGTAGGTAATACAGTTTCACAATGTGGCCCAAGATCATGCCAATTCTAATGCTCGAACTGGCACTCCCCAAAACCAAATTACTTTTGAAATGTTAACCGGTACAGGGCAATTTGATTCGGTGCAAGTTCAGATACAATGCCCTGTATCTTTTGACTGCATGAACAATTGAAAGAACTTGCCCTTGACACTTGGGATCAAATTACTCCTCGAGGAGAACGTAAAGGTAGCTACACAAAGATATTACAAGGACCTAATGAAGTCTATGCTGATTTTTTAGCTAGACTGGGAGTTGCTATCTCCCATAATGTTCTCACAGAAGAAGCCAAAATACAGTGAGAAAAACTGCTTATATATGAGAATGCAAATCAGAAATATCAAAGAGCCACTGCTCCAATTCATGAGACCAAGAATGTTATTATTTGAAGGCTTGTCACAACTTAAGATTAAAAACTCAGAAAATGCAAATGTTAGCTAAAACAATGGCTGCTACCTTTAAAAAGGAAAATGAAAGATGTTTTGTTTATGGAGATAAGAGCCATTAAAATAATTGCCCGAACACACACACACACACACACACACGCATACAAATTGAAACTATTCAAAAGCCTCCAAAAGTCTGCCCTCACTGTCATAAGAGGATCAGTTCAGTTCAGTTGCTCAGTCATGTCCGACTTTTCGCAACCCCATGAATAGCAGCACACCAGGCCTCCCTGTACATGACAAACTCCCTCAATTTACTCAAACTCATGCCCACTGAGTCAGTAATACCATCCAGCCATCTCCTCCTCTGTCGTCCCCTTCTCCTCCTGCCCCCAATTTCTCCCAGCATCAGGGTCTTTTCCAATGAGTTAACTCTTCACATGAGGTGGCCAAAGTATTGGAGTTTCAGCTTCAGCATCAGTCCTTCCAATGAACATCTAGGACTTATCTCCTTTAGGATGGACTGGTTGGATCTCCTTGAAGTCCAAGGGACTATCAAGAGTCTTCTCCAACACCACAGTTCAAAAGCATCAATTTTTCAGCGCTCAGCTTTCTTCACAGTCCAACTCTCACACTGGGCTAAAAAATGTCAATCTAAATATGATGTTGGGTGAAATCTTATTTCAGGAAACTCAAAGATGGGGACTCACCAGGTCCCCGTCAACAAAAACCAGGGACAAACTCCATCTCTTCCCATTCACAGCAGCCTCCAACAATGCTGCCGTGAATATACCAGTAATAAATGATTCTCCGTGAATATACCAGTAATAAATGATTCTCTTCTTTTTCCTCAAAAGTCCCTTCTAGAATACTATATACCTTTACACCCTCTAGACATAGAGAGATTTGCTTTCTCTCTCCCTTATCCTAATCATAGCGGGCCTCACAAACGATATCAACAGACTGTACTGCCTCAAAAAATGATGAAGTCTTCCATTATATGTCAATATTATGTGGCCAACGTGTTCTATTACACAATAATGCTGGCTCATTAAATCAAATTTGGAAAATCCCATACCGACATGCTAAAGAAACCATTAATAACTGCTCTACTCATAGGCCCCTACATCCTCAACCCATTACACAAGGTATCAAACCTCAAAGATTACAACCCAATGAACTATGGCAAATAGATATAACTCATTGTCCTGAAATTTCTCCCTCTGCCTTCTTACATGTCTCAACTGATACAAATTCTTCTTTTATATGGGCCACACCTCTCCGAGGTGAAACTATACGACATGTTATAACCCACCTGTTAACTTGCTTTGCAATAAAGAGAACACCTAGTTCTATAAAAACAATGGCCCTGCCTATATTTCTAGACAATTCCAACAATTTTTACACTCATTTTCTATTAAACATATTATAGGTATTCCTTATAATCCACAAGCACAGGACATAGTTGAACATTGAAATTATAAATAAAATAATTAAAAAAGGGGGAACACACAGGAACACATCTATCCTCCTTATCCAGAGCAGACTTCACTAGATTCCAACACAATATATACTTTAATCCTATAACTACTATTAATACAGCTTTGTTTTACATTTTTTAAACTTACCACAAGGAGATATTTTGACAAAAGCAGAAAAACATTTTGGCATTGAAGGACACCTCACTTCCTCTGCCTATTTGGTATCAAGATGGGTTGACTAAACGATGAAAATTTGGGAAATTACTATTACAGGGAAAATGGGTATGCTTGTATTTCTCCAGCTGGATCCTACAGAATCAGTTGGTTCCCTCTTCAGAAGATCTGCCCCAGGGGAGCCACCAGCCTTCAAGACAGAGAAGAAACGGCAACATCCCCAGAAGGAAGAGTATCCAGTACAAGCCATCGTGGCTTTAAAAACTGCCAAGAAATGCCACACTGAACATCATTGCCCTTCAATCTCCCTACTTGGGGACAGATAAAAATCCTTACTAATCAAGCTGAAAATCTCGTTTCTCAACAGAGAATTCCTCGGAATCCTGAAAATATTTTTGTTGCCACGCTTGCTTTGCTTGCTTTTGCTTCTACCACTTAGGCTGACTTGATTAATCACACTTATTGGGCCATACCTAACCCTCCTTTATTGCAGGTTACAAAATGGACAGACATAGGACTGATCAATCCACTAATGACTCAATACGTATGCCTTTTCCTTGGAACTTGGAGGGGCCCTCTCATCCTGAGAAAGAAGGCAGACTGATTAACATTTCTCTAGGCTATTAAATCCTTCCTTTTACACATGGGCCCAGCAGTATCATGTATTCATGTTCAACAAACATGGACTTTTGTCCTGCCTCCAAAAAAGAACTTCCACACATTGCTTGGACTGCTTACTGCCCTGTCCTTTTATGAGAACCATGTCAATACAACCAAATCTCTAGGAGAAGGAAAAAAGTTGGAATGTAAGGTGTTTACTTATAAGCACTTTAAATACACTCCTGTTTTTTGGGATATATGTCAAGCTAAATCAGGGAAATTAATGTTTGTGGCCAATTACACCATTGTTGATTGTGGACCCTATGACATGTGGTTATCTAACTACTCAGATGATATTAACAGTATTATGTGTTATTATGTTACTCAAGCAACATGGAAGATTACCAACAGTTCAATGGAACACTTCCATGACAAAGGACTCCCTGGCTGGCTTGACAGTGGAATGGCACCTCCTTGCCCTCGAATCCTCCTCAATATACAGACGGGACCTAAACATTGGGACGTCTGGAGACTTGCTGTGAGTACTGAAAAACTTGAAACTTGCACTAGATATTTTACAGAGACTAGTTGTAATCATAGTAACTATTCCTTCCATTATAATCATTCATATTTTATATAAGCTTGTGTTGCCCTTCCTTTTGTTACAGCCACAGGAAACTTAAAACTTAATAAGGCTTTAGTTTCTATGACTTGTATAGATTACAAATTGTATACTTAACTGCTCTATTTTTCTAAAAAAGAAATCCCTTTTGATTCTTTGATCTCCACTTAAGTCTATGCCTGCCAGCAGATCTCCAATGACAGTGGGAAGAAGGTCCTATGACAGGACTTGCCTCCTGGTTATTCAATAAATTACTCTGACGATCTAAGCAGTTAATTGGATGGCTGATTCCTGGCATTTTCAGATTAACAGCCATTTGTGCTACTGCTATTGTTGCAGACAGTGCTTTACAAACTTCAATTCAAACACAAAACTTTATTCAAAGTTGGACTAAAGATGCTCATACTATATGGGTCCCTCAGGTTCAGATAGATGAAAAAGTTGAAGATAAAATTCAGAAATTAGAAACAGCCATCCAATGGGTTGGAGATCAATTAATAGCTTTATTAAAACAAATATTATTAAACTGTGGTTGGAATCCTACACAAGATTGTATCACTGCTGTTCGGTTCAACCACAATGCTTAAAATTGAGAACAAACCAAATTTAAACTGCAAAATATACATAATAACAGTTCCTTAAATGTGTAATTGTGGCAAAACAAAATTTTGGAAAACTTCTCTAAGAGTCTCCCCTCTTCCAACAATTTAGAAACCTTTGCTGAACAGCTGACTGATAAATTGTCTGGGCTGGAAAGCCAGGATGGTTTTGAAACATTTCTTGTAGTATCGGATCTGAAACTGTAACACTGATAACTGTCCTGGTGATTACATTTGTAGTATACTGATGTCTTTCAACTAAAATTGTTCAAACTAAACAAGCTCAATTGGTCAGGGCCTTTCTCAAAAAAGTATCTACAGTCACCCCCAATTATGAACAAATCAAAACGGGGGAATTATCAGGGGATGTTCAACTTTAAGGGATCCAATATGTTATTCTCTTCTTTTGGGTGTCATTTCTCAAGGACTCTCTATTCTCTTATCAATTCCTGGAAAACAGGAATGAGCAGAGTTGCATGCAGTTCTCAAGACTGAGATCATGACAAAAGGGCACCTACTTGGAATCCTTTCAGTGACTCTCTTCAGTGACCTTTTACTTAAATGTAATCTATTCAATTATGCCCCTCTTATTCAGGATATGGAACACTTTCTGGCCCTTTAAAGATTGCTATTTGCCTGGCTTTGTTTTTGCTCATTTTTTTTTTTTTTTACTGCCTAAAGCTGCCTTGTATGAAGATATATAAACGTGCATTTCTGCAAATAAAGCAACCTTGTTTCACTCGAGACTTGGGTCCCCTGCTTCCCTCTTCTGGTCAACTCTAGTCCCCAGATCCCAGTCTACAAAGACTGTAACAATACTCAGTGAGGGTGAAAGCACAAGATAAATATGAATCCCCACACTATGACAAGAAATGTAAAGAGGTATTAACGGGACAGAATCTGAAGACCAACTAATTCACTTCTCTGAAAAATGAACACCCACTCCTACCTGCCTACAACCTGGTATGCCCTTTTACACACTCTGTAAAAGCTGGCATTTAACCCCAAATCATACACTTTTGTTAGTTTCCATTTTAATACTAAACAAAACAGGACAAAACTAACCCTGCTCAGCAATGATTTGGAAAGAGTCCTTGTCCGAATGTTCTTCCCTATTCACAAGGGTAAGTTCCTACCACTATAACAAGAGTTCCAGTGCCCAAGTTCTCTGGGAAACCCCAAGCAGAGTATCAGCACCCACAGGCCCAGTCCATTAAAAAATATATTGGGCAAACCAGAAAATGGATCTGAGGAAGGTAAGGCAAGTTGATGCTGCAAGATACCTGGAAACCACTAAGAAAGTCTTCAACAAGGGCACCAGTGTAGGTGCTGATTGGCACATAGTGGTTGAGTTCAGCAAGGCGGGGCTGTGATGCCTCAGCACGGTTCTTACCAATGTCCTCCTCTCGCAGGTAGAACTACAAGAAGGTACAGAAAGGAAAAAAGTGACGTGAATGCAGAGATCGGGCTGTTTGGTGCCTGGGCAAGGGAAGGGAGTCAGGAAAGAATACCTGGGACGAGAGGTCAGCCCACTGAGCAGTGCCCTCATCATGCAGGTGACAGCTTTGACACCACCAAGGATGATATTCTTGGCAATCTCCACCCCTAGGCCCCGAAGTCCTGATACCAGCACACTGGATGCCTGGAGATGCTTCATAGCCTCATGGCCGAGGACATATCTGCAAGATTTGAAGACGGCTCGGTCAGGGCTTGGCTAACCCTCCTCTATCTTCTGTGTGCCTCTGCTGCTTCATATAACCAGGTTTAGTCACACTTACAACTGTCTAGAGTAAAGACCTTCATCAATGTCTGTTTCACTGCCCTTTTTTGGCATTCCCTAGGAATGGAGGGAAAAAAAGTTTCAACAAGATAAAGCAAAAGCTTAAATAACAGAGATACTTTCCCACCAACCACAACACCATCCCACCTCCAAGATTTATCTTAGAGAAACTCACGCTGGCTGATCCTGATGGCTCTTTGAACATTACAGAACAAGCAGAGGAGAAATCAGGACTTGGTTTTGATCAGGCCCAGACATACACTGTTTCTTTGACACTGGCAAGCTAGACATCTTTAGAAAAAAAGTCAGAGATGAGCCAGATGTAGGCAGACTTTTTTGTTAATGGTAACTCGGAGGGAGAGAACGGATTTAGTACTAATAATCTCATCTAAGAAAAGAAGAATGAAAATATGCTAGGTACCAAAGCCACTCTGAGATGAAGGAAACAGAAGGCTGAGCACAGACAGCTGACATTCCCTAGAGGAGAAAAAAGAAAAGCTTCAGGGAGATAACAGACTAAACACTCAGTGACCACCCACTGGCTATATCATGAAGTCTGGCTGGGTTTTATGCAGGCTGAATAGATGCTGAGAAGGGGATACTTTCTGATCTAAGGCTGTTGGAGGAGGGGATATGATAATGCCGTATGTGCCAATGAGATTGAAAGTCAAGATTGCCAGCTTCTCAACAAGGATGCCGGGGGCCTCCCAAGGCCCTTAGGGTATACTATAAGGCAAGATGTGGAGTAACACGATCTTTTAAAAAGCTGAAAATTAGCTACTTTCTGAATCCACAGATAGAGCTCCAAGCAAGCCTGGGACTATGAGCCTCTAACAGAAATCTTAGGACCAAAATCTGACATGGTGTTATCAAACACTGCCACAGTGATGAAAGGAAGTGGGGAAGGATGTCTGAAGGACTATATATCCAAAGAATTCCTTCCTGGTGTCTTATTCCTTAGGGGGTTCTGAGGGCTGATACTTGGAGTTATTTGAAAAGAACTGTGACACAATGAAAAAAACTGGGTATTCTCTAACAGTATATGATGTCTTATGAGTAAAGCATGTTACTGTAAAAGAAAGTTGGGTTCAGCGGTGTTTCTTGATGCAAATGCTAAAGTCGAGTTTGCGGAGCTGGGCAACTAAGCAGAAATCTTGGGTATAGGAACATTTCTTAAAGGTGGTGTAGAAATGAAATGTCTTTAAACTGACATGTTCAAAAAAAATGTATTTTAACTGGAAATACTGGGCCCAGTGTGATCTCCATGGTAAGCAATTACAATCAGGCTGAGCAGTGTGGCCGTGGTCTCTGAGCAGGCGTTAGGGTCAGCAGTAGTCACTGGCCTTGTGTGTATACATACATACATACATATATATATAAACGTCTTAAAAGTGACTAGGAGGAGAAAACGAGGGAGTAAAACGGTGTCTAAGCAAAGATGTCAGAGAAAGGTCTCTTTGAGGGAACTGAAGGGTAAACAGACCTTGCCTGGGCTCTAGTTCCTCTTGGAAGCTGTGAGTGTAATAATTTTAATTTAAGGTCTTCATAGGAATACATGACTAGCAATTCTGAACCTGGTGCTGTAACATACTAGGGAATTAACATTTTTGACTAGATACGTTGGACCTGGGCCGCTGGAGCCCTACAGTCCGATTTTGGAACCCAAGGGAAGAAACGGTAACATTCACCCCACACTTAAATGTTATGCCCTTGTGCCGACACCTACACCGCCCCTTAAGCTCAGTTTAGGGTATCCCAGTACAGTTCAGTCGGTCAGTCGTGTCGGACTCTTTGCAACCCCATGAAATGCTGCACGCCAGGCCTCAATGTCCATCATCAACTCTCCGAGTCCACCCAAACCCATGTCCACTGAGTCAGTGATGCCATCCAACCAACTCACCCTCTGTTGTCCCCTTCTCCTGTATCCCAAGAGCTCCTGAAAACCCTTCCTGAAAACGCTACCAAAAATAGCTGCCTAAAAATCCCTTCCTGATAATGCTGCCAGGGAGGGTAGCGGAGAAAAGCCATTTGTTACCAATTCCGATTCTCCAGGTGACTCCGCTGGCAACTCCACGTGAACAGAAGCCAAACCCAACACCGCACTGTTTTTGCTCTTCCTCCCCCGCCGACTACCTAACGATAGTTGCTGCAGCCTCAGCTTTCCCTGCTCTCCCTGCTGTCCCTTTCGCGGATACACGATTTTACCTCAAACGCCGAGACAAAATGGCGATGGCTATGCTTGTCGTCAAAAGCTTTTCCTGACTCTCTGTCACGCCCACTAGGGAATACGACTGACGTCATGAAGTATGCCGGAGGAAATGGGAAGACAGCTCCCTCTAGTGGCTACAATCACTAGTGTTACTAGCTCAGTCTTTTCCTACCAGGGATTGTAAGCGCACAGGCTACTCTGGCCATGTAATTCTCCAGGAAATAACTTTGGAGTGGCTTGCCATTTTAAAACCCATACAAAGTAAAAAGTAAAATACAGTAGTTACATCGTTTTTGTGGACTGCCTTCATAACTCAGTGGTAAAGTGTTGGCCTATCAAAACAAGAAATAGAGAACCTTCAGGAGCCCGTGAGTTCGATCCGGTGTATTTGGGTGGAAAAAGAAAATTTAAAGAAGTAGGATTTCCCATAGCTGTTTCCGCCCCCCCCCCCCCCCCCCCGCAACAGCACATACTTTCAGCTCTGTTCACTCCCTCAGTCGTATCAGACTCTGTGAGACCCTATGGACTGCAGCATGCCAGGCTTCCCTGTCTTTCAGCAACTCGCCCAGCTCTGGCAAACTCAGGGCCGTTGAATCAGTAATGCTATCCAACCATTTCATCCTCTGTCCTCTAGTTCTCCTCTTGCCTTCAATCTATCCCAACATCAGGGTCTTTTCCAATGAGGCAGTTCTTAAATCAGGTGGCCAAAGTATTGGAGATTAAGCTTCAATATCAGTTCTTTGAATGAAAATTCAGGACTGATATCCTTCAGGAATGACTGGTTTGAGCTCCTTGCAGTCCATGGAACTCCCAGGAGTCTTCTCCAACACCACAATTTAAAAGCACCAATTCTTTGATTCTCAGATTTCTCGATGGTCTAGTGCTCACACCCATTCATGACTACTGGAGATACCATAGTTTTTACTATACCTTCATTCTCAAATAATGTCTCTTTTTAATATGCTTTTGCATCCCTGTGTCCACTGCTGATTTTCCAAATATTCTGGCATATTGAGCGCAGTACTTTAGCATCATATTCAGGATTTGAAAGAGCTCAACTGGAATTCCATCACCTCCATTAGCTTTGTTCATAGTGATGCTCTCTAAGGCCCACTTGACTTCACATTCCAGGATGTCTGTTTCTAGGTGAGTGATCACACCTTTGTGGTTATCTGGGTCATTAAGATGTTTTTTGTATAGTTCTTCCTTGTATTCTTGCCATCTCTTCATAATATCTTCTGATTCTCTTAGGTTCAAACATTTTCTGTCTTTTACTGTGCCCAATTTTGCATGAAATGTTCCCTTGGTATCTCTAGTTTTCCTGAAGAGATCTGGAAAGAGATCTTCCATAGGAAAGACATGGCCCATGGATCGCTGGCACGCCAGTGGCATCAGGGCACTGAGTGGAAAGTTGCGGCTGAAGGTCATCCAACAGACCCAACACATGGTGACTACTAGTCCACACTACCCACAGTGCTTCTCCATAAATGTCTGTTCCCAAAAGGACAATGAGCTTCACAGCACTTTCCTTGAATTTGATATGGGGTGTGAGTGAAGCCATTTCCTGAATTGCCTTCTTGATCTTCTGCTGTTTATTGGATTCTTTATCATGACCATGCCTAGGAAAGTTTTGAAGGCAGTAGTGTTCTCTCCAGGGGGCAGAGTAGAAGCACCTATGCTCATCTTCTCCTTTGAGAACTCCAAAATAACAACTCTGCTGAATAGCCATCAAGAAGATAATGTTGGATCCCACCAAAAAGAGAAAAAAAAAAAGATAACACATCCAAGGGCAAATGCCACGCCCCAACAAGTTGGTAGGAGGGACAGAATTGCATTTAGAATCAAACCCCATATTTACCAGAAATGCTTTGAGGGCTCAAACAAACTGTGTGCACCAAAAGCCAGAGACCCCACAGAGAATGAGCCAGTACTGACTGCGTGTTTGAGGACCTCTTTATAGACTTGGGTCAGCAGTGGCCTGCTGAGAGGTCAGGGGTTTTGGGTGCAGCAGACATGGGTCACAAAACATGTAGCATAAGCCCTCTTGGAGGAGGTCTCGATTAGCCCCCATTGAGCCACTGAGCAGATGACCCACAAACTGCAGAACAAGTATACAAAAGAAATAATTGCACTGTTAGGAAATTTCTAGGACCCATAACAGATTCCCTTACCTAGAGATCTGAGAAAGGGACTGATAATCCCTTTGAGTTTGGAGGCCAGTGGGATTTGATTACAGATCTTCCAAAGGACTGGGGAAATAGACTCTTGGAGGGCACACACAAAACATTGTATGCACCAGGAGCCAGGATAAAGGAACAGTGTCCCCACAAGAGACTGAGCCATATTTCCCTCTGTATGTCCTGGGGTCTCTGGTTGAGACATGAGTCAACAGTGCCCTACTGAATGGTCAGGGGCACTGAATAAAAGACTACCTGCACAATTCCTTTTGAAGGAGGATGTTATCTTCATTACCCCTACAATAGTTTGTCTTCAGTGTAAAGAATGGGGATGGAACACAGCACCACCCATCAACAGAAAATTGGATTAAAGGTTTACTGAGCAACAGCCGCCCATCAGGACAAGACCCAGATTCCCCCAAAGTCAGTCTCTCCCATCAAGAAGCTTCCATATACCTTTTATCCTGCTCCATCTCAGGGCAGACAGAATTAAAACTACAATCACAGCAAACTGACCAAACTGATCATATGGACCACAGCCTTGTCTAAGTCAATGCAACTATGAGTCATGCTGTGTAGGGCCACCCAAGGCAGTCATGTCTTAGTGGAGCATTCTGGCAAAATATGGCCCACTGTAGAAGAGAATGGCAAACAACTTCAGTATCCTTGACTTGAGAACCCCATGAACAGTATTAAAAGGCAAAAATATAAATAAATAAATATTGAAAGATCAACTCCCCATGTTTTTAGGTAACCAATATTCTACTGGAAATGAGTGGAGCAATAAATCCATAAAGAATGAAGAGATGGAGCCAAAGGGGAAGGTAACACCCAGTTTTGAATGTGACTGGTGATAGGAGTAAAATCTGATTCTATAAAGAACAATATTACATATGGGCCTGGAA